AAACTCTGCGAGCCATGCATCTCTAAGACTCTAAGGAATATACTCCCTTAAGAACATATCTGAATATTGAGTCCAAGTAAGTGAAGCTGCCTCAACCGGACTATCCAGCTCATATGCCTGCCACCACTGGTAGGTTGCTCCTCTAAACTGGAATGCCATGAAAGAAACCCTACTGGAATTCACAATACCCATAGTACGAAGGATACAGTGATATTCCTCTAGAAAACCCTGAGCATCCTCTAAAGCTAAACCGCTGAAAGTGGGAGGGTGGTACTTTTTATACCTCTCGAGCCTGAGCTTCCCCCTATGAAACTGAAGTCCTAATCTCAGGCCGAACTGGGACAACTGGCTGCACTGGTATAACCTATGGGGCATGGTCAACTTGGGCCCGTGGCTCTGGAGTACGGGCGGCGGGAGTCTACGCTCCTCCCCCGGCCTGAGATGTTGCAGGAGCAAGTGGAATTAATCCTACCTGAGCTAAAGTGCCAAACATGTTCAAAAACTGGGCAAGCGTCTCCTGAAGTGCAGGGGTAGTAACAGGCATCTCAGGTGCCTTCTCTTCAACTGGAGCTACTGGTGGGTCTGGTGCGGCAGCTCGTGGAGGGGACTCCGGAGTCTGCGGACGCTAGCAGATATACCTCGAAGTCTCCATGCGCAGGTAACTCGCTGACGTCTAGACTGGTAAGATGTACCTGGATCTCCACAAAAAAGATGTGTAGAAGCGTAGTATGAGTACACCACAGCAGTACCCAATAAGTGTCAAGCCTAACCTCGGTAGAGTAGTGACGAGGTCAGGTCAGGCCCTACAAGAGAATAGATAATGATATGGAAAAATATTTAAACAATTTAATAAGATAAAATGATAATGGAAATGAATCAAGTAGTATGTCACATTTAATTACACCAAATAATGGCAAATAAATACCTCGTGGAAATAAAACAGAATTTCTTTTCAATTTTAAGGAAACTCACAATAAAAATCGAAGGCAACTACGGCCATAAATCAATATTAACAAGGGCACTACCGAGGTACCGCCTCGTAGTCCCAAATCATAATTAAATTCACAATATCTCATTTCCTTATCTCACCGCAGGAGCCTTCACAATTTATTTTAAAGAAAATATTTTTTTTCCGAAATAGCATCCCGCGTTTTAGCCATCCTTATCACACCGCATGACTTCTAGTAGTTCCCCCTACTAGCCACGCGTATCAAGCCACCCTTATCTCACCGCATG